TATAAGTTACTTGAATACTTCTTTCATTGTTGGAAATAAGATTAATTTTCAAAATACGTGCAAAAATCAATATGTGATATTTGACAAACAATACCGATGTTCATTAAAATGTCAAAACTCACTATATGGAGTACTTATATTAAACATTTTTCAAATATATTATTCATGCATGTTGCAAGTTATTTTAAATGTTGTTAAATATCCATACTTTGAGAAACTTACTCAAAACAGAAGCAATTAGGTTGTAATAAAAGTGAGAGGGGGTCCAACTAGACCTCTACTAGCACTACTAATAAAGCTCTATTACTCTTGTTTGTTTTTTGCTTATAACTGCACACTACTTGTAACTTTAACAGTGAAACCAACTGAAAGCCCACAAAATCATTATGAGTAGCTCAACTGAGTTATAATCCAATAATTTCAAAGCTTGTATCTTTATTTCTACTAATGCAATTGATATGAAAATAAAACAGTTAAAGACAAACATTTCAAATTCTGTAATTTAAATCAAATATTTATAATTATATTTAGAAAAAAGTTTATAAAGTCTACACCTACATTCATATTTTTTCATATTTTAGCATTCATAAACAGGATAGGATGCATGTTTTCAATTTTTTTTAATCATCACTTACATGCTTGCATTTTCGATTATTTTGGAAATCAACAATACAAAAACATCTTTTTCATAAGTATTAACATTCTAACAATAAAAAATTGATTTTGTAACATATTATAACAGCTGCAGGTGTCTTAAAGTCTAGAGCACACTCACAATATTAGTGTCTGGAAAAAGTTAACGCACGTAAAATTTATTATGACATTGTTTAATTAAAATTCATATTGTTGGATTCCTTTAGAAATAACCAATTATTGGCTGAGGCCATAACCACATTGCTGTAGACTCCAGAAAAACTTAAAAAGTTTGTACAGCAATTAATGAATCAGTCAAATGAAAACACTGACATCTAATATATCTTTTTGATACTATATGGCCGTTTTATTATTAATTTATGAAAAATAAATATATTGGAGGGGGTTTGATCCTCCTCCAGATCTATGCCTACTTATATTACATTAAATAACACAGTTATTAATTTATAAAAAATAAGTGAAAGGGTTGGGGTATGGTTTTAACCCCCCTTTGACTCCTTCCCTAACCCATGCCTGCTTATACAACATTAAATATCCATTATTAATTTCTGGAACAAAAATGGGTGGGAATCTGGACCCGTCAGTCCCTCCTCCAGATCTGTGCCTGCTTATACAACATCAAATGTTATAGTTACTCAATTATAAATTAGAAACATAACACTGTAAAAAAACATTAATTTACAATATATTTAATACTCAAGTAGCCAGAGTTGATGGTGGGTACTACCAACCAGTTGCTCTCCAGTCAACAGTTCAAAATTAGTGGTAGTGGCAGACAGCTCTAGTAATTTAGGAATAACAAAAATGGGATGAATAAATTTAGTGGCAATGGGAATTAGACGCAAAACCCTCAAATCATGAAGCACCCATCCATCTGTCCATTACGTAGATTCATGTTTAAAAAATGGCAGTATTTCTATTACTTGGATATTCAGGATAATCAAAAAATATTATATAATCAAAATATGTTTTGAAAGACAAGAAATATTTTAGTTCAAATGATTAATAAACCTTGCTAAATAGCAAAATTTTAAAAAATAGACAAGGATTCTTATAATAATATGCACATTATTAATAAAGGAAAATAGTTTTGTTTTAGTTAGGTTTTTCAAAACTTTCATTTTTAGTTTTATTTTGCTCTCTTAAAGTCATAACTAATTTCCAAAAATTGGAAAAAAACTTTGTCAGGATTACAGCAAGCATCTCACTGTGTTAAACAACCAAGATGATTAACAAAATATTCATCCCATGAAAGTAATCCACATTTATCACTTAACTCTTTCTTGAAAAGTTTTTTTGGTGTACAAAAACGAAGATATGCTTTTATATTCAGAAACATCTGTTAGCTGAGTTCTTGCACATATCTTAAAATATAACTTTGATAAACGGAAACTTCGGCACATGTAGATATGTAGATCTTGAAAGTCAAGTTGTTCAAAACTTGAAAATAGCATTGATAACTGGACCAATTGTTGGTTGAGATGTTGTAAAGGAAATATCTGCTGAAGCTTTTTGCCAGACACTAATCATAGCAGAACCGTCTGGAAAATGATCTATAGAAAATAGTACAGCTTATAAAATGAGTCAGATCAACGTAGGCCGGTAAGGCAATCACTGATTGGCAAGTCCTTAAGCCAATCAGGAAATGTCACAGACCTACTGAAGGATGTGTAGATTGTATAGGAATTCTTTTTGGCGGCAAGGGACAGGCTTATGTGTTTTAATAAAGGTGGCTTCCAAAATACAAAGATGAAAGGTTGACAAACCATTTGCAATAATTTTAAACCTATTACCTGTGTAGTTATCAGCAGTAAATGCTGGCCAATCTCTGATTCATATTTGGTGATAGAACTTTTGTTTTACAGGAGCGACATGGTAAATTATTTTCTTTCACACTCTTATTTCTT